AGATAAAATATATTTAAAGAGTAGAATTTTTAATTCGAATTATAATACATTGTCTTTTTCATTCATTATTTTAATAAAAACTGGGCCGTTTTTCAAAAATTAATATTGATTAAAACAAGACCGACTTTTTAATTTCTAATTTGTATATTGACATGATTCTATACACTTATATCGACTGCCCAACATTTTCGAAATCAAAACATAATCCTTCCTTAATAATATTATTACTGCTGTAGAAGTCCTTCCGAAGCAATTAACAGAACTTGAACGGAACTAGAAAATAACAGAACAAGAACAGAACAAGAACAAAACTAGAACAGAACTAGAACAGAACTAGAACAGAACTAGAACAGAACTAGAACAGAACTAGAACAGAACTAGAACAGAACTAGAACAGAACTAGAACTAGAACAGAACTAGAACAGAACTAGAACAGAACTAGAACAGAACTAGAACAGAACTAGAACAGAACTAGAACAGAACTAGAACAGAACTTAGAACAGAAGAACTAGAACAGAACTAGAACAGAACTAGAACAGAACTAGAACAGAACTAGAACAGAACTAGAACAGAACTAGAACAGAACTAGAACAGAACTAGAACAGAACTAGAACAGAACTAGACAGAACTAGAACCGAACTAGAACAGAACTAGACAGAACTAGAACAGAACTAGAACAGAACTAGAACAGAACTAGAACAGAACTAGAACAGAACTAGAACAGAACTAGAACAGAACTAGAACAGAACTAGAAACAGAACTAGAACAGAACTAGAACAGAACTAGAACAGAACTAGAACAGAACTAGAACAGAACTAGAACAGAACTAGAACAGACTACAGAACTAGAACAGAACTAGAACAGAACTAGAACAGAACTAGCTAGAACAGAACTAGAACAGAACTAGAACAGAACTAGAACAAGAACTAGGACAGAAACTAGAACAGAACTAGAACAGAACTAGAACAGAATATAGAACAGAACTAGAACAGAACTAGAACAGAACTATGTAGAACAGAACTAGAACAGAACTAGAACAGAACTAGAACAGAACTAGAACAGAACTAGGACAGAACTAGAACAGAACTAGGACAGAACTAGGACAGAACTAGAACAGAACTAGAACAGAACTAGAACAGAACTAGAACAGAACTAGAATCAGAACTAGAACAGAACTAGAACAGAACTAGAACAGAACTAGAACAGAACTAGAACAGAACTAGAACAGAACTAGAACAGAACTAGAACAGAACTAGAACAGAACTAGAACAGAACTAGAACAGAACTAGAACAGAACTAGAACAGAACTAGAACAGAACTAGAACAGAACTAGAACAGAACTAGAACAGAACTAGAACAGAACTAGAACAGAACTAGAACAGAACTAGAACAGAACTAGAACAGAACTAGAACTAGAACTAGAACAGAACTAGAATAGAACAGAACTATGTAGAACAGAACTAGAACAGAACTAGAACAGAACTAGAACAGAACTAGAACAGAACTAGGACAGAACTAGGACAGAACTAGAACAGAACTAGAACAGAACTAGAATAGAACTAGAACAGAACTAGAACAGAACTAGAACAGAACTAGAACAGAACTAGAACAGAACTAGAACAGAACTAGAACAGAACTAGAACAGAACTAGAACAGAACTAGAACAGAACTAGAACAGAACTAGAACAGAACTAGAACAGAACTAGAACAGAACTAGAACAGAACTAGAACAGAACTAGAACAGAACTAGAACTAGAACAGAACTAGAACAGAACTAGAACAGAACTAGAACAGAACTAGAACAGAACTAGAACAGAACTAGAACAGAACTAGAACAGAACTAGAACAGAACTAGAACAGAACTAGAACAGAACTAGAACAGAACTAGAACAGAACTAGAACAGAACTAGAACAGAACTAGAACAACTAGAACAGAACTAGAACAGAACTAGACACAGAACTAGAACAGAACTAGAACAGAACTAGAACAGAACTAGAACAGAACTAGGAACAGAACTAGAACAGAACTAGAACAGAACTAGGAACAGAACTAGACAGAACTAGAACAGAACTAGAACAGAACTAGAACAGAACTAGAAACAGAACTAGAACAGAACTAGAACAGAACTAGAACAGAACTAGAACAGAACTAGAACAGAACTAGAACAGAACTAGAACAGAACTAGAACAGAACTAGAACAGAACTAGAACAGAACTAGAACATAACTAGAACAGAACTAGAACAGAACTAGAACAGAACTAGAACAGAACTAGAACAGAACTAGAACAGAACTAGAACAGAACTAGAACAGAACTAGAACAGAACTAGAACTAGAACAGAACTAGAACAGAACTAGAACAGAACTAGAACAGAACTAGAACAGAACTAGAACAGAACTAGAACAGAACTAGAACAGAACTAGAACAGAACTAGAACAGAACTAGAACAGAACTAGAACAGAACTAGAACAGAACTAGAACATAACTAGAACATAACTAGAACAGAACTAGAACAGAACTGGAACAGAACTAGAACAGAACTAGAACAGAACTAGAACAGAACTAGAACAGAACTAGAACACAACTAGAACAGAACTAGAACAGAACTAGAACAGAACTAGAATAGAACAAGAACAGAACTAGAACAGAACTAGAACAGAACTAGAACAGAACTAGAACAGAACTAGAACAGAACTAGAACAGAACTAGAACAGAACTAGAATAGAACTAGAATAGAACTAGAACAGAACTAGAACAGAACTAGAATAGAACAGAACTAGAACAGAACTAGAACAGAACTAGAACAGAACTAGAACAGAACTAGAACAGAACTAGAACAGAACTAGAACAGAACTAGAATAGAACAGAACTATGACTAGAACAGAACTAGAACAGAACTAGAACAGAACTAGAACAGAACTAGAACAGAACTAGACAGAACTAGGACAGAACTAGAACAGAACTAGAACAGAACTAGAATAGAACTAGAACAGAACTAGAACAGAACTAGAACAGAACTAGAACAGAACTAGAACAGAACTAGAACAGAACTAGAACAGAACTAGAACAGAACTAGAACAGAACTAGAACAGAACTAGAACAGAACTAGAACAGAACTAGAACAGAACTAGAACAGAACTAGAACAGAACTAGAACAGAACTAGAACAGAACTAGAACAGAACTAGAACAGAAACTAGAACAGAACTAGAACAGAACTAGAACAGAACTAGAACAGAACTAGAACAGAACTAGAACAGAACTAGAACAGAACTAGAACAGAACTAGAACAGAACTAGAACAGAACTAGAACAGAACTAGAACAGAACTAGAACAGAACTAGAACAGAACTAGAACAGAACTAGAACAGAACTAGAACAGAACTAGAACATAACTAGAACAGAACTAGAACAGAACTGGAACAGAACTAGAACAGAACTAGAACAGAACTAGAACAGAACTAGAACAGAACTAGAACACAACTAGAACAGAACTAGAACAGAACTAGAACAGAACTAGAGCAGAAATAGAACACACATTGTAAACTCAGAAGGAACTTAAAAAATCAGAACTATCAGAAGCAATGAATTTAATACAGTTCAATTTTGATTCTTCATTGCTTCTGATAGTTCTGATTTTTTAAGTTCCTTCTGAGTTTACAATGTGTGTTACGGGTGGTATGAGTAATTTTCAATAAAAATAAGAAGCAGTTTACTAGTTGGAAAAAACTGGTAAACTGATGGACAATAAATTGGAATTATTGAAAACTACAATTAATAATTTTTGAGGTAGAAACAAATCTATAATTTCTAAATGCTAGAGGAACAGTTCCCAAGTAGCTCACAGGAACGAAGATTCATAAAAAGAAACGGAATAAACTTCTAGAATTTATTTCTATTTCAAATTCAAATGCCAAGTATTCAAATGAATGTTCTATATTTATAAACGAACCACTGTTCATAATTTCTAATCATCTCTTGACTGTTTGTTGTTGACATTTGTTCGCCTTCGAACACACATTTTAAGACATACAAAGCCAAAGCCATATTTACAACTAACAACAGTCAGCAGCAGCAGCAAGACAACGACAATAACAACAGCAACAAAATACAACAATAAAACTTTACTTCAATCAATCGCACTTAACCGCCAACGTACAAAATTTCAAATACTTGTATTTATTATTTATTTACTTAAACATATAGAACCATGATATATAGAACTCCATACTACAGTTCTTTGAATTTAAAAAATTGTTTTAAAAAAATAAACAGAACGATTTTTATCTTTATGTAAGCATGACGGGCAATATCTGTCCAATATTTAAATGTTTTAAATATATGTATAAATATTCTAAATGAAAAATTTGAAATAATCTAATGAATTAGAGAGTAGGGAAAAATTTTAATTTCTTTGTTGAGATGAAATTTGAAATGATTTAAATCTATTCACTATAGTATCCAGGGAATTAACTTTGCAATTCGATGCGAAAGTATTTCTGAACCCTTTTTTAAAAAATATTTCCAGTAAAATTAAACCATAAAATTTAGAAACCACTTTGAAAAAACTATTATTGAGTTTTAATTTGACATGTTTGAGATTTAGTTTATTGACTCTTTTAACATATTTGAGAGCACAGTACCTGTGTGTGTTTTCTTCGTTATTATAACAAACAATGCTGCTCATGCGCATTAATCATTAAATTGATTGAATTGAAAATTAAACTATTATTTATTGTAAGGCCGAATATTTTGTATAACCATTTTTGTATTAAGACTACACAACCCACATAGTGAATATTATTCGTACACAGTGGTTTATGTTAAGAAATAAACATTGGAATTAAAATACTTGAAATATTACACGAATTAACCATCGTAGGATTTTCTCTCAGATTCGCAGATTTAAAGTTATCAGCGTTAGATGCATCTTCCAATACATATTATTGATTCGCCCTTATTGCCAATATAATTTAGTAACTAAAGTGCAAAAGAATATGTTGTTTTTTATTAATTTAAATTAAATTTATTTAAGAGTAAAACGTAAGATTTTTAACATGAATAGAGAAGAAAAAAAGGGGAAACATTAAATATGTATGTAATCGTTAAATAGTTTTATGCAATTAAGATGTTGTGTTTTGTTAATTTTATATTAAAAACAGAAATAAAAATTAAAATATAAGCAAAAATATATCAAAATTTACCGGACAATTGCTAATAGAAGAAAAACTATAAAATAGCAAATCAAAGCAAATAAAACAAAATATAAAAAAATAAAAGGGAATTCTTGTTAGATTTTTTTGTCTTAAAATGCTGAGAGATAAGTTTCCTTTAACAGACGATGTACACATACAAATTAAACTAATACAGTTGATGATGATGATGAATCTGATGTTAAATAATGTTTGGTTGGTTGATATATGCTGTTGTGGAGTGTTGTAAATAAATGATGTGTATGTGGTGCAGCAGTAAATTAAAAATTATAAATAAATGTTGGTAACACAACGCGTTAGGTTTTCCTTGTAAGTCAGCGCGCTCTTTATTTTGTTGCAAAATGTCGTAAGGAGATGTATTTCGTAATTATTTCCTTATTGCGTTGTTTAATGATGGGAATGCCACTCATAATCGCTTAAGCATACGCTTTTTTTCCTTTATAAGTTTTTCCTTTTTCTTATCCTGTAGTTTCTTATCGACGGCATGTTTTTTCGAACTAGGGCCATCATCATCTTTGGAATCTGTAGATTTAGCGGCTAAAGCATGTATTTCTGTCATCATTTTAGCGCGCTGCGAGTAATCATCATAACGTTCCAGCAACATTTTGCCGGCTTCTTCATTTAGTGCTGACTCAGCATTGGGTACAATAAGTAGACATTTAATAGTGAGTAGTATATGTTTAATGCCCAAATCCGGTTTCCAATCCTTTTTCAAGGTATTTACACAGATCTCACCGTTGGCGGCCACATTGGGATGAAATATTTTCGTTATGAAAAAGGCCTTTGGAGGTGCTTGAGGGAAATCTTTACCTAACGTAAGTTTGACACGAAACATACCGCCGGCATAGGGGGTACCAGCTGGACCTTCGATAAGAGCCTGTATATCGGTGACATCAGCATCGTTAATTTGTATTTTTATACCCTCCAGGGGATTTTCAACCATGCTTTGCATTTCCTTCATCACTTGTCTTATTGTTTGAGGCGAGAGGTTTTCTACATTGGAGATCTGAAAGGAATTTAAATTTCATGATTAATATCTCAAAGGAAAGTCAACTTTCGTATTTTATTTAGTCTTTATAACTATGTGCATCTTTTTACTCATTTGTATTTTATTGGTATTTAAGAAATATGGGCATTGGCAAAAATACATAGGTACATGATAGAAATTTTGGACATAAGACCTTCATCAAAGGACCCAATTTTAGAATTTCTTAAATAAAATTAAAATGTCTAAATAATAGCTTCCATTTGAGATATAATAAATTTCTAAGGGGTAATTTTTGTATGAAAATATTATTTTCCTCCCCACGCTTTCATGCAGATGCATTATAAACGACTGGAGTCTGGTATAGATCGATCTTTATTAAATTTGATAGAGTGAAATCATAGGCAAAAATGTAACCTATAACAAAAATTAACTTTATTTTAATTGCAAAATTTGCACGAAAAGTATTAAATAACTTCAGAACATGATTCTGAACAAATTATAGTGGCAAAACATTCAAGATTTTTTAATCTGCATAAGGAAAAGTTACCACAGAAAAATCTAGAAAATTCCCAGCTACACAATTATTGGAATTTATTTGCCAAAATCGACTTAATACTTTCTGGAATAAACTATGTAAGGTTAGGTTGTTATACTTTTGTTCGATTTCAATACCCCAGACCACAAACCAAAAAAAAGAAACCTACAATAGGTATAAATGTAGGCATTTTATAATTTTTGTGTAAACATGAAAAATACAATAACTCCAATGACATAAAACAACTTACCGAACTCATTTTCTTGGCTAAATTTTGTTTATTTCTAAATAGATTTTTCAATTCTATGGTATTTCCCTCCTAATTTATTCTGATTTGTGTTCTTCCGTATTTGTTGTCCTTTTTACTGTAGAGTTTTTGCCTCCGTGAAAAAAAATGTCTGCTGCAGCAGCTGGCTTTTTTATATTTTAATAGATTTGCTATTGTTATGAAACGTTTTCCCAATAATTTTTTCTTAGTTTTCCAAATAGCAGTTATTTTCTTATAATTTTATTGTTATACTTAGTGTTTTAAACTTAAACTTTTGTACATAAAATGAAATAAAAAGGGTAAAATCTTTCCTATATTGAAATAAATACACAATAAGTTTCGATAACTATTTGTTGTCGTTTATTACAAAAAAAAAAAGAAGAAAAGTAATCGTGTTATCGAAACTTGTATGTTGGAGACTTTGAGCAGGGTTGCTTTTATAATCAGGGCTGCCATAGGGTTCTATAGTTGAAACAAATGGTGTAAGTGTTGTGCGAAATAGAAAGAAATAGTTTTTTGGTCGTGACGCTTCTGTATACCCTGTGACAAAAGGTCGAATGTTCGATTATTCGAAAGTAGTCTTATAGAAGTCTAGTTCTATAGTTGTATAGTAGAGTTGACAAAGTTGTGACTTTGTTCATTGTTTATGTTAAAAATAATGTTTCCAGGTTTACAAATGAAAATTGCTAAAAAAAAATCAATAAAAATATATTTTTTTTAGTCTTAGATTTAGATTAGACAAATTTTGTAGTTATATACTAGGATTCTATAGCTGAAACAAAAAGTGGTTTTTGTATTTTTGAAAAGGCGACTTTTCGACGAAAGTTTTTTATTTTTGCATTGAGTATGCCATGGCGGAACTAGATAGGTGACCGCATCACTTTTGACAGAAAGCATACTCCATGACATAATAAAAACGGTGACTGCATCACTACAACAATACAAAAACTACATTTATTTTGTTTTTGTACTAGAATCAGACTAATGTCAAGTCGACTTTTTTCGACATTTCGACTTTTTCCGACTTTTCGATTTTTTCGACTATATGACTATTTTCGACTTTTTTCGACTATTTTTTTACTTTTTTCGAGTTTTTCTTTTTTATACTTTTTTCCACTTTTTAAAATTTTTGACTATTTTTGACTTTTTTCTACTATTTTCGAGTTTTCGACTTTTTTCGAGTTTTCGACTTTTTCCGAATTTTTGACTTTTTCCATTTTTTACGACTTTTTTCGACTTTTCGACTTTTTTCGACTTTTTTCGGCTTTTATTTACAAAGTCGACTTTTCGACTTATTTCATAGACAATAGTCGAGTTATCGACTTTTTTGAAACAAAAAGTCGATTATTTAATTATTGGAAAGTCGATTTATAGAACCGTTGTTTGGACCTTAACATTCATAACATGTAAACAATAACAGCTTTTGACATTAAGCATACTCTACACAAAAATAAAAAAAATAATCAGCTGCTTATCGCAGTCACCTTACTTTATTATGCATATACGTACATATATACATACATATGTAGCTTTAACGCCTTTTAACAATCCAAAAGTCGCATTTTTTCCTCTTAGCGCTTTTTTGGAAAAAGGCGCTAAATTAGCGCTTATTTCAACAAATGAAAAATCTTTTTAATAACATAAAATTATTCTAGTTTAACAATAAAGATAAAACGGAATAATTTTAGACAGTACTCTGCCGTACAAAATTTATTAAGTTCCTTTTTCTAAACTTTCCATATTATGAGTAATTCAAAGATCTTTTAGTGTGATAAGTTATTTTAAAACTTTAAAACTAAAATAAAAAATATTCACCATTTTCGCCAAAAGAATTGAAATTGTTTCTTCTTAAATTTTCAATCCCTTCGAAGGGAAAATTGATTTCGTGAAATTCCACAACAGTTGATTTTGATCGTAACAGCTTTTTATTGATCAGAAAATTCTATAAAAAATTCACAACAAGGGAAGTTTTTCACGTCAAAAAAGGGAAAAGTTGTAAATTAACTTAATTTTAGTTAGGTTAACTTGAACTTGAAATTAAAATTGCATTTCGTGAAAACTATTGATATTTTAATGTGAATAATACAAAAATAATTTTGATCGCACAAAGTTTGATTCACAAAAATTTAGCATTATTTTTTTATAACTTCACTGTGAAGGAAACAATTAAAATAAAATTTATTATGGGGAAACAAATAAAATTTATTATGGGGAATTTCAAAAAATCTCTTTGACTAGTTATTGAGATCTTGATCGATGATAGCAATTAGTCATTGAATAAGAAAATCGAACATATTTGTATTAACCTTAATTTTTTAAATTTCGTTCCCGAATCAAAATTCCAATTAAGGAGTAATCTTTTTAATAAACAAATTTTAGCTAAATACTATATTTTTTAAGACTGTGTAAAAATATAATTTTAGCGCTTTTTAGTGCGTTTTGAGTGAATGGACGGCGCGTTTTAGTATAAAATAGTTGACAACACTGATATGTAGTATATGTAGTGTATGTAGTAGTAATTTTCAATTTGTTGACACTTTTTTACGTTTTTTACTTTTTATTGAAATTCACTGAATATAATGAATTCCTGCAGAATTTGTTTAACAACAAATGTATTTTTTGATTGGAGCGAATCTGTTTTGGAATTTTCTGGTCCATCATATAAAGAATGCTACTACCAGTACACGCATCTTCCGGAACAAGGTAAAGAGAATGTGGAAACAATTATTTTTGAAAAGTGTTACAGTATAACATTTATTTTAGATCCAGATTTTCACACGAAAATGCTATGTTTGGATTGTGGTAATGGCTTGAGAAATGCTTATATTCTAGTGGAGAAAGCTTTGGTATCTGACTTAAAATTAAAGAATCATAAATGTGAAATTATAGCAGATAGTCTATTAAAATTTGAAAAGGAAGAAGTAATATCAGTTGATAGGTGTAATATGATTAATTCTGAGCAAACTTTAGCACCTGAACTAAATCTAAAGGATCAACAATCACAAATTATAGCAGAAAATCGGTTACAATTTAAAAAAGAACTAATAATAGATGACACACAAAATTCACTGAACCCAACTATTGAGTATACTTTTAATACAAACAAGGATGAAGAAGGATACATTTCAACGGAAACTATAACTGTAAATACGTTATTGGATGAGGAGTTACATGATGTTAGTATACAGAATTCGGGTTCAGCATCTGAGTCAGGGCTCAATAAAAATACCAACATAAATAGCAAAAGTGAAAAAAAACCGAAAAAGAAAAAGATATTAACATTATTGTGTTCCCACTGTCGTAAGTAAAAAATAAATCTATACGTGGTAAAGGTATTTTTAGACTACAATAATGAGTATTAATATTTGTCAAAAATGTTTGTATCATAATACAATTTACTAGTCTAAATATAATTTGTAATTTGATTTTCAAAAATATTACTGATTTTTTTTTGGCATACGGTCGGTATTCATAAATTTTTTAAAACAATTCAAAAACTTTTTATTTTCAAACGTATTCGGTATGTATTTTATAAATACAATAAAAAACAAACAAAAAGTGTAAAATACATTAAAAATAAGAACGAAAAGTGCAAAATATTATAGTGTAAACATAAAATGTATTTTTCGGATTGATGTTTTGAAAATGCGAATTATTTTCATAATATTTTTAATTTGAAGTGTGTTAATACTCAGTATTGTAGTCTGAAAATACCTTAAAAATTATATTTCCAATTATTTCTATATCACAGCAAAAATTTTTCACACTAAGGCTCATTTAATTAGACATGAGGAAACTCACGTACTAGATCGAAAACGTACGGAAGTTTGCACTATATGCAGCTTAAAATTTTATTGCAAAAATACCTTACAAATGCACATGGACATTCACGATGAAAATAGAAAACGCAAACACAAATGTGAATTTTGTCCAAAAGCGTTTTTTGCGCGTGGTGGACTTAATATTCATAGGCGCATACATTTAGGACAAATGATAAAGTGTAATTTTTGTCCAAAAGAATTTTATCGTCAAGTAGATCTGGATCAACACATGAAAAGTCATGATGTTACGCCTTTAACATCAAACACTGGTATAGAGCCAAGAGTTAGAGTATGTTAGAAAAGTACCTCAAAGGTATTTGTAATATATAATACTGTTCTTGTACATATTTTTCAGGCAAAATATTTCAGGAAATGTGATTTTTGTGGTAATAAAATCAATACGAGCGATTGGAAACATCACAGAGCAAAGCATTTGAACCAGCCTACATTACAATGTTTGATTTGCAGTAAAACATTTTTTCCTAACTCAAAGTATTATATTCTTCAAATTGATATTTAATACATAATTAAATTACAAATTCATTTTAATTTTAGGGTTACTCGTCATCTTCGACAATGTCATGATATTCAAAGTGATGAATGTGACAAATTTTTAATAAAATTGGATAACAAATTTGAACCACGACTTTCAAGTTTAATGATAGAACAAAAAATAACAGAAGTATATACAGAAAAATAAATTTATAAAAAAAAAAATAAAATTATGATGCACAAATATAGAGACGAAAACTAATCAAGAATGTTAAGAAACGTAATATTTTCTTGTTTTTTTTTTCGGAATTTTGCACATATATCCTTTATTTATGAATCGCATTTGATGATTTTAAATAATAAACTTCTCTAAAGCATGTCAGAATTATTGAAGATTCACTTTTCGCAGATATCTGGAATCTTCTTAAAACTAATTCGACTCCGCTTTATGTATATATAATTTATAAGGTCGAAAAATTACAAACGGAATGACAAATATATCCGTGCAATTATTTCCATGTGAATCTCGAAATTTTCATAAATATTACAAAAAGGTAGTTACTATTTTCTTCAGTGTAGTTTTTCCATGATATCATTCCAGGCTGAATGAAATTTACACTCGCAGATTGTAAACAAGAAATTTTGTTAATTTTTTATTTAAGTCCAAAGTATATTAATAAAGTAGCGACATCTCTTGTTGTACAACAACATCTACAACAACCACATGTATTTTGTTTTTGGAAAATTCAAGATTGTGTCAAAATAAAATTTCCTTGAAAAACAATGTGAACAAAACATAAATAAAAAATATTACTTTTAAGTTAAAGATATTAACGATTTAATTATATTATTATATATTATACAATTTATTACACTTTTAAACTACTTTAAAACCACTTTTAATTCACTTTTTCAACTTTTCACAAATTTTAACAAATAGCAAAACACAATTTAAAAATGGCGACGTAAACAATGTTAACAATTTTCAAAACAAACTTTGACAATTTGCTTCATTTATCTAGTTTAAAAAAAATAGTCAGCTGTTCAAGTGATGCTACTTTATTAATTTACTTTGTTTAAGTCCAAACTGAACTGAACGTCATGAATTCTAACGAAGATCCCTGTAGAATTTGTTTAACAACAAATGTATTTTTTGATTGGAGCGAAGCTGTTTTTGAATTTTCTGGTCCATCCTACAAAGAATGCTACTACCAATACACGCATCTTCAGGAACAAGGTAAACACATAGTGTTTATGTGGAAAGTGTTAAACTAGTAATTTACATTTTAGATGCAGATTCTCGCACACAAATGTTATGTTTGGATTGTGGTAATGGCTTGAGAAATGCCTATATACTAGTGGAGAAAGCCTTAGCATCTGACTTGAAATTAAAGAGTCAGAAATGTGTAATTAATGCAGATAAGTTATTGCAAAGCGAAAAAGTTGAAGTAATATCGGAAGATATGTATAATTCATTTAATTCTGAGAAAGCTTTAACATCCGACCTAAAACTAAAGAATCAACAATCACAAATTATAACAGACAATACATTACAATTAAATAAAGACCAAGTAGTAATAGTTAATTTGAAAAATTTACTTGACACGAATACTACGGATAACTTAAATACGAACAAGGATGAAAAAGGACATGTTTTAACGGAAGCTCTAGCTATGAATAAGGTATCTGACGAGGAGTCACGGGATAATGATTTTTCACTTACTCAGAATTCGGAATCAGCATCTGAATCAGAGATCGATAAAAATTCTACTGCTAATACGAAAAGTGTGGTCAAAAGGATAAAGAAAAGAATTTTAATGTGTGCCTACTGTTGTAAGTGGAATATAATTATATATATTGAAAAAATACAGTTCCAACTATTTCTATATTGCAGCATGGACATTTAAATCGCGAACTCATTTAACTAATCATGAAAAAACACACCAACAAAATCGAGAACGTACTGAAGTTTGCCCTATATGCGGCCTAAAAATGTACTGCAAATATGGCTTAAAAGCACACATGGCCATTCACGATGATAAAAGAGAACGCAATTACAAATGTGAATTTTGCCCTAAATCATTTTTTGCTCGTGGCGCACTAAATGTTCACAGACGCATCCATTTGGGACAAATGGTAAAATGTAACTTTTGTCCTAAAGAATTTTATCGTCAAGTCGATCTGAATCGACACATGAAAAGTCATGATGTTATGCCCTTAAAAGCAGATATTGAAGTAGTGCCAAAAGTTCGAGTAAGTTAAATAATAAACAATTTTTTTTTTTAACATTTGTTACACCTATTGTACATATTTGCTAGGTAAAATATTTTAGGGAATGCGATATATGTGGTGATAAAGTCAATACCAACTCTTGGAAACGTCACAAAGCGAAGCATTTAAATCAGTATGAAATAGAATGTTTAATATGCAACAAGCAATTTTTCCCCGACTCAGAGTATGCAATTTGCTATCCACAAATTAATATTTTATTATTTCAATTTCACTTTTAATTACAGTATTAAACGTCATCTGAGACAATGTCATGATGTCATGGGTGGTGATTCCGACAAGTTTATAAAAAAATTGGATACCAAATTTGAACCACGACTTACACGTTTAATGATAGAGCAAGAAGTAACGAAAGTGTATACAGAAAAATATTAAATATATATAATACATATTCGAAAATTGAGGTTGGCACTGTTATTTATTACAGTTCAAACATTTTCTAGCTGATGTCTCAACTTAAAAATCAAACAAATAATAAAAATGGTGAAACTTGTCACGCTTACGAGCCCACCCTCCAAAAATTTAAAACAGTTACATATGTATATGTCATTACTTTAGTGATGGTGCCTATTTTGAATACAAAACGTAATGCAGAACGTAGAAAATTTCATTAACATAAATGTTACGTTAGGTTCGTTGGGACCGTAAAATTTAAATTGATTTAAGTTATTTAATTAATTCTTAACAAAGGTTTAAGGCTTAATTTAATTTGTTTAATCAAATTAAAATTTATTACTTCGCCACTCTATAAAATCATTCATTCGAATTAATTCATAAGCTAAATTCCTTAGGACTTTAAAAATGTTGAATTCATTACTTGTATAATTTATTCTTTAAAGGCTTAATTGCTTGCTAAATGATTTAAATTTTTTCGAATTCATTTTGTAGGGGATTAATAAAAATTTTTCAAATAAAAATTTTATTTAGTATTTTACAAATACAATCTTTTTTATTTTAATTTCAGCTAATTAAATATGATTAAACAATTTTATTTAATTTTATATAAATGACAAATCTTATTCGAAACATATTATTTATAAAGTTATTAGAAGATTCAACTTTCTATTTCTGAATTAAGATTTTGGCGAATTAAGCTCAAATTGAATTGATTAATACGAAGCATTGACTCTTAATTACTATCATAAGGTTGATAATTGGGTGAGTTGTGATTTTTTGATAAATCATGTAGAAATAACTGGAAAATAATAAAAATATTACAAGATCCATAAGAAAAACCAAAAAAAGTTTCATGAATGGCACACGTAAATAGCATTCTATACTTTTACATCAAGTTTTTTTTTCTTTTTGAAGAATTTATAGCAGAAATACAATATTTTAAGAATCTAGTTTTATGCCAAAAGAATTATCATAAATTTCGGTAATAGATTTTTCGATATATAGCAAAATTTTAATCAATTAAAGCTATTTAAATCATTTATTCGCTTATTTTTTACAATTTAATTAGAAAAAACATGCCCTTGAAAATTGTGTTTATAATAAAAATAAAAAATAAATGAAATATGCTAAACTTTTTATTCATATTTAAACATCTAGTGGATTATTTCTATTTTTATTGCTGCAACTGTTACTTTTGTGTTATCATTTCGTTTTGAATTGTCTGTTTAGATTTTTATGCAACATAAACAAAGGACATTCTAATTTTTTTTATTTTTTTAAAATGTAAACAATAAATTTTGTTAGTTTTCTAGACAGAAAAAGAACGATATTAAAAGAAAAATTATTTATTAGTTGGCTGAAAATGTAGAAAGCTGTGGCTTTCAAAATTTTATTAAAAATTGTTTATCTTATTAAAAAATTTATTAGTTTAAACTTTAAAATATGTAATAAAAAAAATAAAACTTAAAATTCAAAGAAATTAATTTGGTCTATTTTGCTTGTTTAAATAATTTAATATTATTTGATTTTTTATCTTTTGACTTTGTTATGTACATATGTTTGTTTTGATTGTTTTTTCATTGAGAATATAAACTTATGACTTGCTGAAAAGATCTATTCACAATCACTGTTACTACACTTTAGTAGTTACAACATACAACTTGATTGTGAACTGAACAATAGATTTTTCTCATATTATAAGTTTTTCTTCATTCGTGCCATTGATAGGCTATTTCTGTTATAACAACTTTCACTCTTGTGTTACCATTTTCCTATGAATTATTTGTTTACCTTTCTAAGCAACAACAAAAAGTTACAAAGTTTATTTTTATTCCGATTTTAACAACAAAATAATGAATTCCCAGGAATTTAAGAAAAATATATGTCGAATTTGTTTAGATGAGTCGGTAGTATTAGATTGGAACGATAGTATATATGGTTATAGCGAGATAACATACAAAGATTGTTATTACAAGTATACACAATTGGAATGGCTTGGTTAGTATTGTCTTCCAAATTGTAAATGTATATTCAAAATATTTTTATTAAATTTATGTCTCAAATCTCGGTTTATTCAGATTTCGACAGTTTTTCACCCATGTTATGTCAAATATGTGCAAATGGTTTACAAAATGTCCATGCTCTTATTTTGAAAGCATTAGAATCATATAAATATTTTCAAGAATCTGCAGCAAACATCAACACACAAATTGTTAATAATAGCACAAATATTGAAACCGATATAAAATATACACCAACAGAATTTGAAACAGTACTGGTGCATAAATTAGAAGTAGAACCCATAATAGAAGATCATTTTGTGTATGACAACTCAGATGAAGATTTTAAGATTAAACCGACAAAAACTAAAGTTGGTAGACGATCTAAACGTTATATTTCGTTAAAAGGCAATTACGAAAAATATAACAAAAAGTCAGAAAACCCTATAGAGAAAATGAAGAAAGTGGATAATTCTAATAATAATATGCCAGACTTAACGCCAGCAAAATCTCAAAATAAAACTCTTGTAAAAAGAAAAGCAAAAAAACAAGTGGTAGTTAAGGAGAATAACACAAAGAAATCAAAAAGCTTAGAGAATGTAGAAAATACTTATTGTCAGAAGAATGGCGAAACTAGAAATGAAAATATATGTGATCAAGTCGAAAATGTTGGCTCACAAATAGAGGCCAAAGTCAAAAAAAAATATAAAGAAATTAAAAAGCCAAGAATGTGTTCGATATGTTGTAAGTAAACTTTTTGTTTCAAAAAGTCGTTACTTTCGTAATAATTCAAAATAATTTATAATTTTTCATATTACGTTTAAATATGTTTAGGTACCATTTATTTTTACATTTCGTGAATTAAATTTTATTTATTTAAATATTCTTTAGCAAAAATCTTGCACAACAAGTATGCAGTACAAATGCACGAAAAAACCCACATGGAAAACCGAGAACGGAAAGAGACTTGTAAAGTCTGTGGTTTGAAATTTTATGACAAACGTAATCTCTACTCTCATAAGCGTATACATAAAGAAAATCGGGAAAAGAGGCATAAGTGTGAATTTTGCAATAAAGCATTCTACGATAAAGGCGGTCTAAATATACATCGGCGCATTCACTTAGGACAAATGATACCCTGTACTTTATGTTCAAAACAATATTATCGTCAAATTGATTTAGATCGCCATATGGGTTCACATTCGGCTACAACAATAAATACTGATACGAAAAAAAGAGTAAGTGAATTTGTAAATTTAAATTTGTTTAAGTTTAATCCAATTCTAATCGTAGTCAAGATATTTTGTACGTTGCCAACATTGCGACAAATCCATACTAAGTACAAGTTTTAAATCGCACACAGCTGCTCATTTAAATGAACCTTTAATGAAATGTTCAATTTGTAATAAAGAGTTTTTCCGACGGGGAAGGTATGTATTTGTTATTGCAATTCATAGTTAATGTTGTCCTTATATATAATAATAATAATTTATAAAAAATAATTTGTTTTCACTTTTAGTTGTGTTCTCCATGTTAAAAAAGTTCATCAAAAAACGAACGAAGAATACAATGATTTTATTGTGCAATACAAAAAGAATCGTATATCACATTTGTTTCTGGAGCAAAAAGCCGATATACAATTTAGTGATGAGTAATATATAAAAATATACAAAAATGCAATGAGCGAGTAAGACATTTCATTTTGGGAGTGCATATGCAATTATGTATACCAATATTAAGGAATTGAAAAATAAGGATTCTAATTATTTGCTATTTATTTTTAAATATGTTATAAAAATTGTAAAAATAAATACTACTAAAGTTTTAACATTTTTTATTTTAATTATTTTTTATAAAATATTACTATTAACTAAAAAATTTTACGTTATTGTATTAAAATTATTTTGGTTTGGATATATTAAATATGGAATAAATATGTAAGTAAAATAGTAATGACTTTAGAAATGGTCATGTAAATTAAATATTTAATAAGCAAAAACTTAAAAATGGCAAAAATTTTAAGATAAATTTTTTTTTAATAAGTTATAAAAAAATATATTTTTTATTGTATGTAAAAAATTCACTAAAAAATTGTTCTATATTTTGTCAATAAGCCCTCTTAATACAATTATTAACTAAAAAAATCAGTATCGGAACACTTTTATAACAAAACACATATGAATTATTTACCCGGCCTGCGGCAGCTGGAATATAAATTAAAAATATCTTTAACATTTTTGATTTCTTCAATTGGCAGTAACAAAATTTTGTCACCACCTTATGTTAATTTGCCGTAAATTCGATTTATAAAATAAATTTGACATTAACGTGTAAACGTGGTCATGTAATTTAAATGGTATCAATTCATTGTGAATTAATTGTTTACCATAATAAAAAAGAGGCAAACAAATTGCATTGTTTATTCCAAAGCCAAAGATGAATTCTTCGGAATTTAAAGATACAGTTTGTCGCATTTGTTTGGATGAAAAAATAGCTATAGATTGGAATAATAGATTAGCCGAACATGGCGATATTACCTACAAAGATTGTTACTACAAATATACACAATTGGAATGCCTTGGTTTGTATACAGATAATTTGCACCACCCAAACATGATGCTGCCTTCAATGAGACAAAATAATTTTTGTTTTCTTATTTTTTTTTTTTAGAAGCTGATCCCTTTTCATGTATGTTATGCCAAAAATGTTCAAATGGTTTGAAATATATACACAGTTTAATTTTAAAAGCACTTGATTCCTATAACTTCCTGCTTGATGTAAACAGCATTCATAATGAAGTGGATATTTATAGTCATGATGACCTTGTGTTCATTGAGGATATAACAGATATTGCCGAAAAAAGTGTAAATTGTAATTCAACTGATTTTGAAACAGTTCTAGTAGAGAAAACCGATACAGAATCAGTGGATTATTTTCAGAGTGAGAATACTGATGATGAAATATACAATTCTTCTACAGTAGATGTCCAAAAATCTGTTGACAATGAAAACAATGAAGAATGTGATATTGATTTAGCTTTAAAAATAGAGTATTCGGAATGCGAGGAGTCACTATCAACGCGAACATCGTATGCCACAACTAAAAGAAAAAAGAAGTCCTCTGTTGATCAGGACAAAAGCAATACAGTGAAAAAATTAAAAAATTCTCCGAAAAAAGGTCGTTATAAAAAAGAAACTTCTGAACCTGAAACATTAGATGAGCAAAATCTTAAAAAGAAAAAAAAATATGATACTCCGAGTATGTGTTCTATATGCTGTAAGTTCATTTGTTTTATTTTTTCAATTTTAAATTTTCACTTATGCTTGAGTTTCAGCTAAAATTTTACACAACAAATATTCATTACAAAAACACGAAAGAACACATGTAAATCGTGAACGTAAAGTTCCTTGCCCCGTCTGCGGCGTTAAGTTTTACGATAAAAATCATCTCAAATCTCATATGCGAATACACAATGAAAATCGAATAAAGAGATATCAGTGTGAATTTTGCGATAAAGCCTTCTTTGAGAGGGGTGCACTCAATGTCCACAGACGCATACATTTGGGACAAATGATACCATGCACTTTGTGTTCAAAAGAATTTTTCCGCAAAGTCGATTTGGAAATACACATGAATTCCCATTCAGCGGTAACGATAAATTCGAATGGCAAAAAGAGGGTACGTTATGAAATATTTATTTTGTTTTTCATATTTATTTTATTTTTTACTTTTAGTCCAGATACTGGGTGCGCTGCAAATATTGTGATAAAAACATTCTGAGCACTAGTTTTAAATCTCATACAGCCGCTCACTTGAATGAACCTTTAATGAAGTGTTCTATATGTGATAAAGAATTTTTCCGAAGAGATTGGTACGTTCATTATAAACTAATTGAATCAGAAATGTTTAAATTTAATTCCATATTCTCTTGCCGTTTGTGTTTAATAATTATTGTTACATTTTTCTCTTTTTTTAGCTGCACACAACATGTAAGGCAAATCCATAAAAAATCGAATGAAGAATATGATAACTTTATTATAACTTATAATAAAAATCGTTTATCACATTTATTTTTAGAGCAAACGGCAGATTTACAGCCTGATGATAAATAATAAAAAAATAAAATTTTCCATCGTTATTATTTACTTTATTGTTACAAAAATAATTTTATTAAGGATACAAATATTTTGTTTTATTTATAAAATAATAGATAGATAGATAGATAGATAGATAGATAGATAGATAGATAGATAGTTCTAACGATTGATTTTTTGAACTATTCGATTTTAATTGGGGTGGTAGTTTACTTTCATCAATTTTGCAGTAAATGAGCGATATGTCAATTTATATTTAGAAGCTTTTTATACAGTACACCACGGAAGTAGAAAAGACAGATGATTCTTTGTCCTTCCCTCAATGATAATTTTTAAAGGTATGTAATTTTATAAATACATTAGGAAAGACCATTATGAATGTTATTTGTTTACATTATGAATGTTATTTGTTTACATTATGAATGTTATTTGTTTACATTATGAATGTTATTTGTTTACATTATGAATGTTATTTGTTTACATTATGAATGTTATTTGTTTACATTTAATATGTCATTTTTGACAGTTAGCTAATTCTAATACAAAAACATAATACATGTTGTTCTTGTATTGTTGTAGTAATTCACCTCACTAGTTCTGCCATGGATTTGCCGAACTGCCATCACCTTTTGTGAATTCGCCTTGCTTTTACGTTAAAAAAATAATTAAGATCATGGTGTACAGAGTTCGTTTACACCAAACACTTTAGTAAAGACCACAATAAAAACATATGTTTCGGTAGTCTTTTCCAATGATTGACAATGTTACTGAGACACAAAGTATACAGAGGTTCATTATAAAAAGTCGGAAAAAGTCGAAAATTTTAAAAAAGTCAAAAAATTGTCGAAAAAAGTCGAAAATTTTAAAAAAGTCAAAAAATTGTCGAAAAAAGTCGAAAGAAGTCGAAAATAGTCAAAAAGTGGAAAAGTCGAAAAAGGTCGGAAAAGTCGACTATTTATAAAATACTTAAAGTCGAAAAGTTTAAAATTCGACTTTTAATTAAAGGAAAAGTCGACTTTTCGTTTCAACTATACACCCTAATATACATATGTACGTAAAATACACATCGTGTAATAACACCTTTAGCTGGGTTTATGTCGCCTTTGTGGTATCATTTTACTTTAATTTGAACTGTGTCACAAACATTTTATGCTATGTTTCTTTGCTGCTACTACATTAATTTAACTGTAATGCCAGAATGAATTACCCCAAGAATACAGAGAACATCTGTCGGATTTGTTTGGATGAAAATGTTGTTTTAAACTGGAATAATATGTTGTTTGATTATTATGGGATAACATACAAAGAGTGTTACTACAAATATACCCAGTTGGAATGCAATGGTATGTTCATTTTTTGCTATATTTTACTCAAACAAAATTAAAAATCTTGGAAAACCCCCTATATATGCAGATCATGATATATTTTCCTCAATGTTATGTCAAAATTGTTTGATTGGTTTACAAAATATCCATACTCTTATCTTAAGAGCTATAGAATCGCATAAATATTTTGAAGAAACAAATCTCATCTATTTAGAAATAGAGGAAGACACCTGTCAAGATGAAATTGATATTAAATGTAACCCAACAGAATTTGAAACTGTATTGATAGACGAACAAACAATAGATGATCCAAATGAACAACAGTTAAACGAAAACTCTCAAAAAGATTTCGATAAATCTCGAAGAGATAGAAGAAAAAACCTAAAATCTATTGATTCGGAAAGCACTGACGATCAAAGCATTGCAGCATTAAAAATAAATTTGCCAAATAATTGTAAACGTAAGTCAATAAAAGAAACCAGTAAACCCGATATAGATAACAATGAGAAACTAAATTCATCAGATGAAAATAAAGACAAACCAGAAGATAGCAAAACCACTAAATTAAAAAATAAAAAGGATCGTGTAAAGCAAAAAATCATATGCTCCGTTTGCTGTAAGTTTTTGATTTTATATCAACGAAACTTTCTTACAAAATTTAAAATAATTTGTTATACTTTCCTGTCTAGCGAGAGAATTTGCCAGTAAATTTATTGCAAAAAAACACGAAGTGACACATGCTAAAAATAGGGAACGTAAAGAAACTTGTGAAATTTGTGGTCTTAAGCTCTATACAAGAAATAGTCTTCTTCAACACCTGGAAATACATGATAAAAATCGTGTAAAGACTCACAAGTGTGAGTATTGTCCGAAAGCTTTTTATAGAAAAGGCGGACTTAATATACATCGGCGCATACATTTGGGACAAATGATAGCATGTAATATATGTTCGAAAGAGTTTTTCAGAAGTCACGATTTAAATCAACATATGGCTTCACATTCAACTATATCTATAAATGCGCAAATAAGGAAACGAGTAAGTAAATGTAATACGTACATTTTGATGAAAGTTTAATGATTTGAAGTCGATGCGAAATACATAGCTCTCTTTGAAGCAGCGTTTATATTCTTTTCGTTTATAAAATCCACTGTTAATCACATATGAATCTCATAAATTATCTAATCTTTATCTTTAGTCAAAATATTATGTACACTGTAAGGATTGTGACAAAAATATACTTAGTACAAGTTATAAATCTCATAAAGCTGCTCATCTAAAAACTCCTCTAGTGAAATGTTCCCTTTGCAATAACGAGTATTACAGCCGAAGCAGGTATGTATGTACATACATATACATATGTATCTATGTATGTAATTTAATAAAATAATTTGTTTAATTGTTGGTCAGAAAAATACAAGTAAAAAACAAGTAGGAAAGTATAGTCGGACATGGCCGACTATACTTTCAAACTAAAGGGGGTTTGTATGGTGGCTAGGGTCAAACGACGGACGATCATTTTAAAAATTGGCATGGTCATTTATGCCTACATAAAACTTAGTTGTGCCAAATTTTTGTGAGATAGTAGTATATTTGACATTGTTATGAGTTAAAAACCCTAAATCGGAAGGTAAGGTTGTTTGGGGGCTAGGTGAAATAATGCACCGATTTCAACCATCTTCAATAGACATCGTCCTTGTGGCAAAAAAAATGGTATGGTCCAAATTTTATCAAAATATCTTGAAAATTGTGGCCAGTAGCTTGCGCACAAGGTTTACATGGACCGCCAGACGGACGGACGGACGGATATGTCTTAATCGACTCAGAAAGTGATTCTGAGTTGATCGGTAAACTTTAAGGTGGGTGTAGGACCAATATTTTTATGCGTTACAAACATCAGCACAAACGTATAATACCCTCCCCACTATAGTGGTGTAGGGTATAATAATAGAATATTTGTAGAAAAATGCAAAAAAATATATTAAAAGAATGCTCTTGTTTCTCCAATAATAATAATTATGATTTAATTTTTTTAGCTGCTGTGTTCATTTGAAAAGAATCCATAAAAAACGGCAAGAAGAGTTCGATGATTGCATAATAGTGTACAAAAAGGATCGAATATCACGTTTGTATATAGAACAAAATGAAGACATAGAACCTGCGGATTAACACTAAATATTTTCCATAACTTATTACCAATATACAAAATACACATTAATTCTAGATAAAAATATTTTAATTTAATATAAAGTTCGTTTAAATGTATTTATAAATTATTTATCCTTATACTGCAAGTGTTTGTGTAGCCATTTCATGAATGCCCTTATTGTATACCTACAATCATAGTATAGTTAAGAAATTATTAATTTGTTCAGAACCAAGATTAAAGAAGTACTTAGTGCAAGGTTGTGTGTGTCATCTGAAATAATAAATATCAAATTAAAACGATTTCCTGTGTGAACCGGCCCAGGGTGTACTGAATACAAGGTAACATCACTAGCTTAGCTGATAATTTGTTTTCAATTTTTTATACATAGACTTGTATACAGGCTTAATCCGCACGCTTGTCAAAATTCATATGAAAAAAATTGACAATCGTGCGTTTGCTTTCAAGTGCTGGTACCTTGTTAAGTATACCATAAACCGGTCCATTACATCGAAAAAAATTGCAAAAGTTGTAAAAAATGTTAAAAACTGAAGAAAATTATGGTTTAAAAGAGTTGTCCCCTTATTAAGTTTACACTGGTCGTACGTAAAGTTAAATTCACATTTCGTCGTTCCGAAATTATCTTCACGTATATCACAAAATCCAAAAAAATGAGTTAGGGTAATTTTTTGGGGTAAAATTTGAAGAACTATCAATATAATCAATCCATAGGTTTATATCTCTTGTGGTTTACGAGATATTCACTAGCTATTTTATTGTATATCCACTTTTCTTAAAAATTTAATGTGTTATCTTAATGTATATGCCATTTTTGTGGATATACAACAAAAAATGTATGAAATTATTGATATAAAAAAAAGTTGTGTTATCTTCACGCATGTGTAAAAGATAAAAATACTGAAAATAGTCTACATATAACACCGTCCGACACTCAAAATTAGACACGAACCAGATGATATAAGTCTGAAACTAGAGAATAAATGATGCTAAACGGCTTTCACAGTTTTTTATTTCGTGATCCTGTTTCCTTGTAAAAGGACTTTAAAAAAAATGATAAATACTTCTGCTTACCCTACCTTGCAAAATTTGATGTCAAAATAACAAGAAGAGTTGGGAAATATTTTGTGCTATTTTTGTTTTATTCTGCCAGGATCAAAATATGTCAGAAATGCCTTCAAAATTTTTTCCTAAAAAATAATACTGAAAATCTAAATAGATATTAGAGGATAAAAATTTTAAAATACATTTTTGATATCTTCTTATCCTGAGAGTATAAAATAAAAATAATACAAAATATTTCCCAACTCTTGTTCTTTTGACAACAAAATGTGGCATTGTTTGAGCAGTAGAAGAATTTTTATTTATTTATTTTTTTTTTTTTTTAATTTACTTCTTTAAAACTTTCAAGTCCTTTAAAAAGGACACTGGATTGTATTAAAATTTTTTAAACAATAGCAATTACAAAATGCGAATACAGATTTCGTATATAAACCCAGCAAAAATCTAGAAATTACTTGGACAACATACTTTTCAATGACAACTACTTACCGTTTGCATTACTTAGAAGAAAATTAAATTTGTATGTAAAAACCATTATTTGACGCGTAATATAATAGCTAAGCAGTGGTGCAGTGAGTAGAATATTTGACTAACAAACAGAAGTCATTGGCTCGTATACTCGCTGGCTCTTTTTATTATTAAAAAAAAAAACATCATCCTCAACAAGTACTTCTTTAACTCCCTATTTGTAAGCGATGAGGTAAGTACTTGTCTCCAATGACACCACCGTGTTAATATATTGAGTTAAAATGTTGGTGAAAAGAGGTTTTATTAGCTTTTTAACTCATTACTTTTCAATGTAAGTTTTTCTTGGGAAGTTAGCTAAACATCTGCGTTTGAGAGAGAATGAACTTAAAAATGATGCATATTGTATTAAAATAAATAAAAATAAACATAAACAAAATTAGTGTATATTAACTAAACTAATAAATACCAATTTTTGTTACTGCACGAATAACGGATATACATACATACGTGAAGATAATTTGAGAGAGAAAACATAATGCAGTTTTTATCAGTACATTTTCACGTATATGCCATAAATTAAAAAATAGTTCTCAAAAAGTGGTTTATACAACAAATTTGGGAAATTCTTCTTGAGCTAAAAATGACCATATCTTGAAAAATGTACTCCATGACTCTGGATATTTTTACAGTAATCGATGTAGAAAAATCAAGCACTACATTATATAAAAAAATTTAGCCACATTTTTCGGCTCAATTTTTTTATATAAATTGTTAAAACTTTAACTTCAATTTCCCAAAAAAAAAAAAAATTCTGGAGATACGTGAAGATAACTTCGGGGCGACGATTTAGCGATTTTATATTAGAGAGTTTTCTTACAAAAACACTTTGCAACACTGATGAGTATGTCAATTGAGGGAAAAGAAGAATTGTTTACGTATTTTTTAATAAATACTGTAAAAAATTTTAAATTTCGAATGAAAAAATAATGGAATCGTCGACATTCAATCGAAATATATGCCGTATTTGTCTGGAAGACAATGTAACTGTCAACTGGAACGAAGAAATTGAAATATTATGTGGTTTCAGCTACAAAGATTGTTACTACAAATACACAAAGTTACCGGCAGATGGTAAGAAACAATTTCAAATTAAGCAGCAATTAACTAATTTACATGGTTACTTCATATTTTTAGATACTGATGCTTTACCAACAAATTTGTGTGAAATATGTTGTAGTGGTCTTAAAAATGCTCATTTATTATTTGAAAAAGCATCCGTAACATATAAGCATCTTTGCGATAATCTCTTCACTATAAAACATGGAAGTGATATGGGCATTGGAAGAAAACAAACAACAATGAAATTTGAAATTAAGATTATTGATGATAGTGAATTTAGTGATACAATTGAACACGACACTATGACAAATGATGGGACAGTTGCAGATATAGAAGAAGAATTGTTGGACCACACAAGTGATTACGATAATGAACAGGATGTCAGCACAAAAAATTCTGTAAATAATAGTATCACTAACGAAATTCCAATGAGTGAAGACGATACAATTGAGAATGAAAATTTAACAAATAGCGAAATGCCTTCCGGTCAAGCAATTTGCGAAAGTTCTGATGCAAAACCTACTGCCTCATCAACTACTAGTAAAAAGAGAAAATCAAAGAAATATTTGTGTGCATATTGCTGTAAGTACTTTTTCTATTTTTCCGTATCTGTAATCTTATAGTGATAAAAACGAACTATAACGTTTCAGCTTTAGTAGTCAACGATAGATCATATCTTAAAGTTCACGAATCTACACACAATGAAAATAGAAAACGTACTGAAACATGTCCCCACTGTGGACTTAAGTTTTATACTAAAACGGCATTGAAAAATCATATGGACATCCACGTAGAAAATCGTGAAAAGAAATTTAAATGTGAATTTTGTATTAAGGCCTTTTTTAATCGAGGAGCACTTAATGTTCATAGACGTATACATTTAGGTCAGATGATAGCGTGTAAGCTGTGTCCAAAAGAATTCTATAGACAAGTTGATTTAGACAAACATTTGGTAAAACATTCAACAGCTCCTCTGCATAAAACAGCTGAAGAGGTAAAATATTTTTATTATAGTCATATAAATTTAATCTACGTGTCTGTTTTTAATTAGTCCAAATATACAGTACAATGTCAATATTGTAATGAGACAGTTGCCACTGCAAAGTGGAAGACACATAAAGCTATTCATCTTAATCAGCCTCCAGTAAAATGTAAAGTTTGCGACAAAGAATTCTTCGCTAGAAATAGGTATAAAGAGTATGTATGTATGTATTCAAAGAGCTTAAATATTTATTTTCTGTTTTATTACAGAGTAGTGCGACATTTAAGAAAAGTGCATGGTAAAACTATAGAGGAATATGATGAATTTATTCAATATCTTGATTCAAATATACGTATGTCTAATTTAATGATACGACAACAAGAAATACTAGTACCAGTTTCAAAATAAATAATTTAAAATTATATGAAAATGAAGCTATTTGGTATTTTCTGGACTTTTACAATTCGAATACAAATAAGTTACAGTTATATTAAAACCAGTGTACAGTGTACCCTGATTAAAACCACAAAAAATATTTTTTATATTTTTATTCGAATTCTAAAAATCAAAAAGTCAACTTTACATAAATCGCAAAGTCCAAAAATTGAGTTTCAAACGTTCAGCTAATACTTTCAAATGTTTCTTATTTGTAAGTTGAAACCCATTTTTAACATACATAAACATTTAAAAATAAGAAAAAAGTGAACAATGTCGCTCGGTCGACTTTTTTCTTTAACTATAGAATGCTACTTCCCTATAAGAAATGAATGACCGAAACTAACACATACAAAATGATTTTACTAACACACACGCAACATTTTTTTTATAGAATTGTCGAAAAAAAAATTTAATGGATGATTCCATCAACAATGACAGTCAAATGACCGGTAAAATGACTGTTACTGGACCCAATGTGTGGTATAGGGTTGAATTTGCATATGAAAGAATGAAACAACTACATTTTGATTAAAATCAAAGTAAATTAATAAAGTAGCATCACTTGAACAGCTGACTATTTTTTTTTAACTAGATAAATGAAGCAAGTTGTCAAAGTTTGTTTTGAAAATTGTTAACATTGTTTACGTCGCCATTTTTAAATTGTGTTTTGCTATTTGTTAAAATTTGTGAAAAGTTGAAAAAGTGAATTAAAAGTGGTTTTAAAGTAGTTTAAAAGTGTAATAAATTGTATAATATATAATAATATAATTAAATCGTTAATATTTTTAACTTAAAAGTAATATTTTTTATTTATGTTTTGTTCACATTGTTGTTCAAGGAAATTTTATTTTGACACAATCTTAAATTATTCCAAAAACAAAATACATGTGGTTGTTGTAGATGTTGTTGTACAACAAGAGATGTCGCTACTTTATTAATATACTTTGCACAAATGTTTCCATCACTTTTTACATATTGCCCTTAAGAAAGTGATGGGAGCTTTGTTCTACGCAATGATGGGTATATTCTCAGTAGTGACAGTCAATTGACCGGTCAAATGACTGTCACTGTTCTTATAGGGTTTGTATATAATTTTCAGAACTGCAAGGTTGTATGTGCCATCTGTCATGATATCATTTATTATACATAACAATGTACAAAGAAGAAGCATTGTTTATGTTTACAATAAAATTTGTTAAATTGAGAAACAAAAAAACTAATAAAGGACGAAATGAATTTAAATAATAAAGGTTGTCGCATTTGTCTAAAGGGCAAGGTATTATTAAACTGGAACGAAGAAATTGACGACATCTCTGGTATGAGCTACAGAGATTGTTATTACAAATACACAGAACTGCAGTCAACTGGTAAATATTAAATCTAATTTATTTATTTTACAATACAAAGCGCATAAGGATAAAATATAAATATGTATTGCTTAGCTAAGCCATGCGTTCATTTGTCTCATTGTTTTTAGATTCAGATCCTTTGCCACCGAATTTATGCAGAACATGCTCAAGGGGTCTTAAAAATGCGTACTTTTTATTTAAAAAAGCTATAGAATCATTTAATATACTACATAATACTCTTAAAACTAATGAACTTAAACCAATATCGTGTATGGAGGAGGATATATCAATGGAATTTGAACATAAGATATTGGGTGATTATAATTTAGATAATTTAATTAAAGAAGATACTATTAAGGACAAAAATCTGGACGATGTTTATTCTAATGAAGTATTAATTACCGAAAATGATACAAATTATGATGGTAATAACGAAATGTCTTCGCAAAATGAAGAAGAAATAGTACCAGTAGATTTTATTGACATAAAAAATTATGAATCATCAGCGGAAGACTTATTGGAGGAAAGGCCTAACGAAGATTCTAATACAGAATCTGCTATGGACTCAACAACTAGAAAGGCTGCCAAAAAGAAAAAACAAAAATTACATATGTGTGCATATTGTTGTAAGTTTCTATAATTTGTTTTTTCTATAAATATTATATTATCAATTTCGTGAAAGATGTAAGAAATGTTAAAAATTAATAACCCATACATCGGCTTGCACCAGCATGCTGGCGATGTGTATCGGTTCCTTTATTTCAATCAAGTTAGTATATGGGCCCTATTAACCTAAATCATTATTTTTTGTAGCTTTAAAAGTCATTCACAAAAGTGTTCTAATAAAACACGAAGCAACACACAGTGAAAATAGACAGCGCACTGAAACGTGTCCTCATTGTGAACTTAAATTTTACGATAAATTAGGTTTAAATAATCACGTCAAAATACATGCAGTGAATCGGGAAAAGAGATTTAAATGTGAATTTTGTGATAAAGCCTTTTTTAACAGAGGTGGACTTAATGTTCATAGGCGTATACATCTGGGTCAAATGGTAGCTTGTAAACTTTGTCCAAAAGAATTCTATAGACAAATTGATTTAGATAGACATCTATTGTCACATTCAGCAGGTCCTCTACAAAAAAAAGTTTCGAAGGTAATAAATTTAAAATATATTTAATAATAATAATAAATTTAATTATATTTTTAATTTTTCTCCAGGTAAAATACGAAGTACAATGTCAATATTGTAATAAGTCGATTGACTCTTCAAAATGGAAAGAACATAAAGCAGCTCATTTGGGCCAACCTCAAGTGAAATGTAAAATTTGCGAAAAGATATTCTTTGCTAAGAAGAAGTAATTTTCAGTTTGTTATAAAATATTTTATATATTAATATGATTGTTGTCTTCCAGATGCACTAAACATTTAAGACAGGTACATCAGAAAACCAGAGATGAATATGAACAATTTATACATTATTATGATGATTGTATTAAACGTATGTCGCATTTAATGATTCAACAACAAGAAATAGTACAATTAGTTACGAAATGAATATTCAAAAGTTAACCAAATCCAATAAATATGTTTTATTTTGTATACAAAAAATATGTTTCATATAAATTTAGTAGAAATATATAAAGAAAACTATGAATAACCGAGAAAACCTCAAAACTATTATGTACTGTTACTTTATTTTTATAACATATACATACATACATACATATTTTACTTTTTTAAAAAAGGATAATTAGGACCAAACGTCAAACTTTTGTAATTTATAAAAAGTTGAACTTTTCATATGAAAAGTTAATTTTTAACTTTTCGAATTTTACCATTTTTAAAACCGACTTCTTTTGATATCAAAAGTCCATTGAAAATTTCACGACTTTATATAGTTTCCGATTTCATTGGTTTGTCTACAAAATCGAGTTTTCGACTTTTCAGGAAATTATTCTTCTACTTTATAAAAATAGCTCACTTCGACTCTTTCGACAAAAAGTCGATTATTCGATGCACGTAGGTTCTGTGCGTGACTGTGAAAAATAAAGTGGCGCTTTTTATATTTTAGAGTTTTTTTGCAAAAAAACACTTTGCAACACTGATGTGTATGACAACTGTAGGTAAAAGAAGAATGTATTTTTTAATAATTACTTTAAAACAAGATATGTGTTTTTAAATTTCGAATAAAATAATGGAACCATCGAAATTTAACGAAAATATATGCCGCATTTGTCTGGAAGACAATGGAGCTCTAAACTGGAACGAAGAAATCGAAATATTATGTGGTTTCAGCTACAAAGACTGTTATTACAAATACACAGAGTTACAGGCAGATGGTAAGCAAAAATTTTAAATGAAGCGACAATTAAAAAAATTACAATGCATATTTTTAGATTCAGATGCTTTACCAACAAATTTATGTGAAACATGTTCCAGTGGTCTTAAAAATGCTCATTTACTATTCGAAAAAGCTTCTGAATCATATAAGGTTCTTAATGAGATGCTCTTCGCTATAAAAGAAGAAAGTGATGCGCATATTGGAAGTAAAGAAACCACAATGAAATTTGAAATTAATATTATTGATGATTATGATACTCTGACCAATGTTGAGACATATACAGATATAGAAGAAGAATTAATGAACCCCACAAATGATTACGATAACGAACTGGATTTTAGTACAGAAAATTCCATAAACAATATTATTACTAAAAAAAATCCAATGAGTGAAGACGAAACAATTGAGAATCAATCCGATCAAGAATTTAGCGAAAGTTCTGATTCAAGACCTGCTGTCTCGTCAACTACTGTTAAAAAGCAAAAATTACAGAAATATTTGTGTGCATATTGCTGTAAGTATTTTTTTCTGTTTTCATACTTTTAATTTTACATAAAATAATAAAACTAATGTAAACACTAAATTTCTGTAGCATTAGAAGTAAAAGAACTAGCCTACCTTAAAGTCCACGAATCTACACACTGTGAAAATAGAAAACGAACTGAAATCTGTCCCCAGTGTGGACTTAAGTTCTATACGAAAAATTCATTGAGGACTCATATGGACATTCATGCAGAAAATCGTGAAAAGAAATTTAAATGTGAATTTTGTATTAAAGCCTTTTTTAATCGAGGAGCACTTAATGTTCATAGACGCATTCATCTTGGTCAGATGATAGCGTGTAAACTATGCCCAAAAGAATTCTGTCGACAAGTTGATTTAGACAAACATTTGGCGAAACATTCAACAGCTCCTCTACATAAGAAAGCTGAAAAGGTAAAATGTTTTTATTATCGTTACATACACTTAATAAATGTTTCTTTTCTACTCAGTCCAAATATACTGTACAATGTCAATATTGCAATGAGTCGGTTGTCACCACAAAGTGGAAGACACATAAAGCTATTCATCTCAATCAACCACCGGTGAAATGTAAAGTTTGCAACAAAGATTTCTTCGCTAGAAGCAGGTAAAAAATACATACATACATATGTATATAATGTATATTATGGTTTTTAAACAAGTTTGGATTTTATTATAGGGTAGTTGAACACTTAAGAAGAGTACATGGTAAAACTATAGAGGAATATGATGAATTTATTGAATATCTTGATCCAAATATTCGTATGTCCCATTTAATGATACGACAACAAGAAATCGTAGTACCAATTTCAGAATAATAAATATTTACATAATGAAAATTGTTGGATCCAATATGGTGAGTTTTTAACTTATTACTAATTTATCAACTTCTCAACAAAAAGTCAATTTTTGAAATCAATAACAACAAAAATAATGCGTATATTAAAAAGATTTATTAAGGAAAAATAAAATTGAATTTTAAAAATGCATATGTAATTAATGCATTCAATATTTAACAGATTCATACATAAACTTAATATGAAAACAAGTAAGAAATTATAGTCGGGCGTGGCCGACCATATGATACCCTACACCAGTTATGAATATTAAATGTGATTTATTTTTCATAATAAAGCATTTATCTTCAATATTCCCTTGTTCCGATACATTTAAGCAATTTATGGATGAAAAACTAATTTTCTGAAAGAGGCTTTATATGGGGGCTAGGGGCAAATATGGACCAAGCCCGAAAAAATTTTGTGAATATATTTATATTGACATAATATTTTATTGTGCTGAATTTCATCGCGATATTTGTGTTTATAAGCTAATTTGGGACATTCAAGTAATTTTCTGAAGGGGACTTTGTATGGGAGCTAGGGTCAAATGTGGCCCGATCTTTATGAAATTTGGCAGGGTCATCAAGACTTCTATAAAACTTAGTTGTGCCGTATTTTATCGATATATCTGTATATTTAACATAATTATGAGCTCAGAAGCCCTTTTCGGGGGGTTCTGTTGTATGGGGGCTAGGTGAAATAATGGACCGATTTTAACCATTTTCAATAGGCTTCGTCCTTAGGTCAAATAAAACGTGCGTGCCAAATTTCATCCAATTATCTTGAAAATTGCGACCTGTACCTTGCGCACAAGGTTTACATGGACAGCCAGCCAGCCAGCCAGCCAGACGGACGGACGGACGGACGGACGGACATTGCTTAATCGACTCAGAAAACGATTCTAAGCCGATTGGTATACTTTAAGGTGGGTCTGGGACGAATATTTTTGTATGTTACAAACATCAGCACAAATCCAATATACCCTCCCCACTAAAGTGGTGTAGGGTATAAAAATTATTGTTAAAGTTATTTATTTAAGGGTTGATCTATTTGACTGTATTCATTGTCTTCTTGTTCCTCTATAACTTGAACATATGTGAAATTTTTACGTTTTTTTAAATTCGTCTTATTTGTTAAACTCTGAAGCTGTGATAAATCTAGATCTTGGCTTTCAATGGAGTGTACTTTTTCCAAATGTAATTTATATCTGAAAATCAAACGATTTTTAACAAAATTGGTTTTTAGTTTCCATTTAAGTAGTGCCAAACTTACTTTTGTTTTGATGGATAGGCTTTGTTGCAAAATTCACAAGGGTAAGGCATTTCTGTATGTGTATAGGAATGTTCATTTAGTGCTTTTGTAGAGCCAAATAATTTACCACACTCCTCACATTCTAATTTAATGTTCTGATGTTGCAACATGTGTGTTTTCAAGTGTCCCTTAATGGTAAATTTCTTTTCACACATAGAACACTCGAAGGGATATTCACGTTTGTGAAATCTCATGTGTATTTCCAATTCGTAATTACGTGTAAATTGTTTACCGCATTCCATGCACTCTAATGTCTGTCCCTCGTGTAAACGTTTGTGATTGTTAAGTGCCGTTTGGGTAACGTATTCCTAAAAAGTCAAAATGAATTGTTGTGTTTTACTTCGGAAATATATTTATATGCTAACCTTATCACAATAATTACATTTGTGTGTTGCCCTTTTATCGAGGTGCACGTTCATATGTTGGTTCAGATAACGTTGTGTTGCAAATTCTTTGAGGCATATTTTGCATTGTTTTCCTGGTAGCTTTTCTTGTTTTTCACGTTTATGAAATCTTAGGTGCACTTTTAACTCGTAGGTGCCACTGAATTGTTTTCCACATTCGTTACAATTTAATGGTTCTCCTTGATGTATACGTTTATGACTTATTAAAGCTGTTTTGCTGATAAATTCCTGGTCAAAGAGAAATAAAACAATTATTTATATGTATTTACGTATGACTGAGTTTTATACCTTATCGCAGTGTTCACATTTATGTATCTGACGACTGTTTTTGTGATCAATCATATGTTCTGTCAGTAAACTTTCTAAACGAAACTCTTCGCCACAAATTCTACAGGTATGACCTTGCCCTTGTACATTCCGGCGTTTATGATAGTTAAGATGAACTTTGAGGTGATGGACGGTTTTATACGTACGACCTGGAATGAAATTATATAGTTTTTTTTAAATAAAAGATTTCATTGGCGAAATAAAAAGTAAAAACGAATTTTCACCTAAAAAACTAAATTTTAAGAAACAAATTTACTTACCGCAAATGTGACATTTGTGATATTTAGAATTGTTTGTCTTTGTTTTATCCCGTAAAGAATTAGAATTTATATGTGAATATTGGTCTCGTGGAGTTTCTTTCGGTTCGATTTCTGTAATAGTAATTGATTATATGTATATAAATTTACTTATTAGTCTGTAGTCCTAGGGGCAAATTCTGGCATTCGAAAGCGATCAAAACCTCAATGAAATTTTAAAATATTTTATTGGAAATTTCGATCGCTTTCAAATGCAAGAATGTGCCACCTGATTTCAAACTATTTTCAGTTAATAAGCATTTATAACCTTAATAACTCGGAAAAATGCCAAAATGCATTTTGTTGCACTCCGGAAATAATCATTTAAAACTTTTTCAGTGCATTAATAATAAAATAATTATGATGATGCTTACCACTTATTTCAAATTCCTCCTCCATATGAGTCAAAATATGATAGTCACTCATATTAAAATATTCATCGGCTTCTGATTGATTTAATATTTCATCGTTATCATTCTATATAGAATTAATTCATAATGAAATATTTATTCATAATGAATAAATGTATTACTTACCGTTGTCCCGACTGCTGCTTCCTCCTCGAACTTTTCAATATAAATTTCTGTCAATTCCATAGTTTCATTATTTTGACCATCATTCTGCCAGCTTTCCTCTAATATTGATTGAGAACTTTGTGCTTTCTGTAGAAATTTATAAACAATTTCTAATTCTGTAGCACACCCGGTACACAGACATTGTGGCCCATCATCAAACTCCTCGATGGGTAAATTTGTACATAAACGCAAACATTCTAAATAATTTATTGGCGTCACAGATTCATTTTCTTGTGGATTATTTTCCACCAATTCGAAGGGTGCTTGGAAGTCAATACATTCGTTGGTGGCATTTAAACAGACCCGACAAATTGGCAAAACACTTTCCATATTATTTATTAGTAAAATTTCAAATTATTAAATAAATAATCTTTATTTCGAGATTAAAATAACTTTAGTTAAACTATTTTGTTGGAATATAGAGCAGAAACCAAAGTCAGCTTTTATTAAACAACGACGTAAGGCGCCGCTCGAAAATTTGCCGGCGTTATTGAAAATCAAATCAAAACAAAGTGTTTTACATTAGAGGTGTTCATTTACATATGATATTCGCATAGGTTTGTCATTTCTACAATATTATTTTTCTACTCTATAAAGTATTAAATTCCGAGTCCTTATAGATAGCGGAGTCAATTTAAACATGTCCGCCTGTCTTACTATAGAATAAAATTAAAAAAAAAAAAAAATTTGGAAAATTATGAGAATCGATTCAATAACTCTGATACAAATTTAAATACTACCGGAAAATTTAGTTATTGTTAATAGTTCCCTTTAGAATATCGACATTGCCACAAAATTTTGCACTTACAAATTTAATGTCAATAGAAATTGTATTATCAACTCAAATTTGGATCGGATCATAACTCCCATATAAGGACCTCTTCCGAAAAATCAATAAAACGAACATCATTAAGTAATAACCATATGGGAACAAAATTCTTCACGAATAAGTTTTGTACATATAAAAATAATTCTGCTATTTTTTTGTGAATTGGCCCATAACTGATAATGGCTCCCATACAAAGCCAAAATCACTTAACCGTAAATAACTCATTACTTAATAATGACATTAGAATAAAATTAATCCTAAATACATAAATGATCCTAAAAAGTCCTTCCGTGTGTTTATTGAAAACATACGGACGGACACATGATATCTCCTATAGTTTTATTAGAAATGCAAAATCAGTCTATAAATAACGGAGAACAAATTTTTTTCCAGAATTTCGAATTGTTCGATATGTATAAGTATACATATGTACATAGGTAATATATAAATAAAAACAAGTAAGAAAGTATAGTCGGGGGTGACCGACTATATGATACCCTACACCAGTTATGAATATTAATTGTAATTTATTTTTGATAATAAAGCATTTTATCTTCTATTACCTTGTTCCGATACATTTAAGCAATTTATGGATGAAAAACTAATTTTCTGAAAGAGGCTTTATATGGGGGCTAGGGGCAAATATGGACCAAGCCTGATAAAATTTTGTGGATATATTTATATGTACATAATATTTTATTGTGCTGAATTTCATCGCGATATTTGTGTTTATAAGTTAATTTTAGACATTCAAGTAATTTTCTGAAGGGGACTTTGTATGGGAGCTAGGGTCAAATGAGGCCCGATCTCTATGAAATTTGGCAAGGTCATTAAGGCTTGTATAAAACTTAGTTGTGCCGCTTTTTATCAATATACAGGTATATTTAACATAATTATGAGCTCAGAAGCCCTTTTCGGGGGGTTCTGTTGTATGGGGCTAGGTGAAATAATGGACCGATTTTAACCATTTTCAATAGGCTTCGTCCTTTGGCGTGTGTGCCAAATTTCATTCAATTATCTTGAGAATTGCGACCTGTACCTTGCACACAAGGTTTACATGGACAGCCAGACGGACGGACGGACAGACGGACATAGCTTAATCGACTCAGAAAAGCCAATTGGTATACTTTAAGGTGGGTATAGGACGAATATTTTTGTATGTTACAAACATCAGCACAAACCTAAACTAAAGTGGTGTAGGGTATAAAAGAAAGTGTTCGAGATATATCCTAACAGGACAAAAATATGGGTTTTTAGGATTTTACTCTTATCTGAAACATTTTGTAAAAGTTAAAAATGAAGAAACGTTTTAAATAATTTCGTTTCTAACCTGAGGAGTAACTCTCTATTATAGAACTTTCCTACCTTCTTTCCAAAATGATTACTTAGTAAAACACAAGTAATTTCTATTATTATTTTTTATTCTTTTTATTTATTACTTATTTTTTATAACATTGTTGTTGTTTTTATATTATTTATATGAAAACAAATGCAAAACATTTAACATACAAATTACACTGACACTATATAACGTACAGAGTGAATAAAAAGGGGGTATTGGGTTCTTGAAGGATACAGGAATAGGGATTAAAGGGTAATAGAATTTAGTAAATAGCGGTAAGAAAAATAAAAATTTAATAAACATTAGACATATTCTTAAGATAATTTTTTCAACAGGTATAAAACAAACAAAAAAAAATGGACAAACAATTTTTTTTCAAAATAATTTTAACAAATTTTAACTACGAATTAATAGTTAATGGCTTTTAGACATTTTAGTGGTGAATTTTTTCGAATATTGTTCTCTTTTTGTTAATTTAAATTAGATACTTAGTTTCTTATAAATTTTAAAGTTTACTAGTTTTGCCTGCTTTTTAATTGAGTTTTTTACAAATACAAATTTATAGTAAATATATTAAATATATATTTAAAATTTTATTTTAAAAACAATGTTTTTTTATTTTGTTTAAATATTTTTATTTTAATTTTATTACCACATTCATACATTTATATAGTTGTATATAAAATATATGTAATTATGTTTGTTTTATACATAGTATATTTTAATTAAGTTTTTATTGTTTTTTTTTTCTTTATTTTTATCTATGAATATTTTAAATTTAATAGAATTTTATTATAACAGTCTTTTATGGCGTATATATATTATTTATTTTAAAATTTATTCACTTTTTTAAACAATATCAGATACATACAATCAATCATTTATTATACATATAACTATAGTATGAATAGTAAATACATACACATGTTTATACATATGTATGCAGTTATATAATATTATATAGCTTTTAGTATGTAATTAATTAGTATATTTTAACTAAAATAAATTTTTAGGTATAAAATTGTTTTAGATTATAAAAAACATAACATTTTTAATTGAAATTTTTTATATTTATTAATTGTTTAAAATTATTCATATACAATCGTTAATAATTTTTTAAAGTGTTACTTTAGGATCTAGAAAATTTTGTTAGATAATTATGTTATATACCTATTCGTAAAAATAGTTGCGCTTGCAATCGGAATGGAGTTCAATATATTTTTTATAGTAGTAGACGTGTATGAACCAAAATCACGTTATAAAATTTAAAAGAATCTGTCTATAGCACAGGCCAAAAAAAATTTAAAAAGAGAGAAAACCCCTTAGACCAAAATATACTTTTTTTAAAGGCAGCGCTGAATTCGAATCTTGTGTTTTCCGGATATTGTGTCATAAAGTTAAAAACCCCGTTTTTTGGACATCTTGAGACGCTTTGTGTTCAAACTGTCTACTTTAAAATACAGATTTAACCACAGTTGTGTGTTCTTCCTTCTTCGGGATATCAAAAATAATATTCAATTTAATTGGTTTATTCTAAGGAGTATTTCCAAACCAAGTCAACATTAAACATTAAAATGTTTCATCTCTTCGACTGAGAATTGTACTAAAGTTAATTGAATTATTTCCGAATTGCAAACTGCAGATTGATTTGATTACAAAGGCGGACGAACATAACTCGTTTCTAAGCTTTACTTTAGAAACGATTGATCTATAATCTGTAGATATTATTTCATTACTGTTTATGCCTTTTCAGAATCCGTTTAATTATTCAGTAACATTCCGAAAATAAAACTCATTAGTTCCAAAAAAAGTAGAACTCATTCTATTTTGGCAACGAGACGAATAATTTTCTTTTGAATCGTTGAAAAAAACCTAACATAAAAACTTCTCACGACTTATAGAGTAGACATTTAATGCCTTTCGGTGCCGTAGTTCTCCAGTTTATCGTTTTATAAACAAACATTACATTTGTTTTATTTACAGAGATTTACTATAACATAACTATAACATATTAACGATTTGTATAAGAATTTAATTGAAATATTAAATAATAATAATTTTTAGTATTTAGTTTTTCTCCTTTTAAAAAAGTTTTAACAATTCGTAACAATTTGCATTAAAAATATTAACTTAAATCTAAATATATTTATATTTAAACAGTAGCGAACAAAATTTAATTGATTTTTCTTCTAACTTTAGACATTTTTCAAAACAAAGAATATTCGAGAAACCTCGAAATATTTACTGATTACTACTGATTTGTTTACACAACATTCCAATTCGTTCTATACTTCGAAAATTTCGAAAATTTAGTGAAATTTGTTCTGTTCGCAACTGTAGCACTATAAAATTTATAAATTACAATTATTAAAGTGAATATACGAAATAAATTTAAATATAATTATATTTATAAGCATAATAGACAGTTCCAAATTTTGTTGAATAGTATTTGAAAAGTTTATTCCCCGATTTGAAAATTATGTCTATGGGTCTACCGGTTATACATTTCATTCGCATTAGTTTCCTTTTTAGATTTCACTCATTTTTTATTTTGATGATTTTTATATATAAAACGAAATCTTCATTTCAATTTAGTTGAAATTTCAATCGATTTTAAATAATGTTATTTGGCCCCATTTTTTGCGATTTTTTTCGGTAAACTTTTGCCAACAAGACATAACAAATATCATTAATTCCGAAATTAATTCTAGATCAAAAATATATTAACTTGAGGAGTTATAGCGTATTTCTATTCGATAGAAAAAGACTTCGCAACTGAATGTTACGAAATCTCGTTCAAGTAACCCCTTTATAATCGTTCAAGTAACCTTCCTTATACTCGCTCAAGTAACCTCCATTATACTGGTTTTATTTTGGTATTAAAACTTATTATTTTTGTTTGAAATTGTTACTTTAAGAAACTGGTCGGCATGCGGTTCTAATTCTTTAATTTATACCTTTTTTTGAAATGTCTATCCGGTATTAGTTGAAGTAAAGCTTCAGAAATAAACTTTCTTTAGAACAACACACAGGTTAACAATTTTTAACCCAAAGCATAATAAAACAATAATAATATGGTTGTATCATGACCCAGCGGTCAAAGTTTACTTTTCTAAAGGATCAATATATCGTGTTCTAATGTTTGAACATGTCTATGTTCAAATATAAAATCTGTTATGTCTGATAGTCTAATTTCTAAAATAAAGTTTAAACCTCTGCTATATAATCTTCTTTATACGAGATAACTTAACCTAAAGCTAGAAACAGCCATAAAATGACACAAACCCTGTTCAAATTGAAACTAGGACAGGTCCAAAACTAATCGAAATGTATCGAAAATACTCCATTTAACATTGTTATGTCCTATGGTCTTAAGGTTGTTTTATACAAAATAAACATGGTCCATGCCTGCAGTTCATATGTAGGTCTACTAAACGGATCAAGTAGCCCAATAATACTTACAGGGGAGTAGTGTTCAGCGCACTTCAATCCTTTAGAAAAGTATAACTTGGTCTTTGAGCTTTTACTCATTTGAATTTTTGTTGGGCTGTGTAATTAAAGAACAGGGTCCGGAAAATTACGATCAATCTTACTTGATCACGTATGCGGTAATTCGGTCACAGGATCATTTATTAGATATTGAATCAGTGTAATTACAAATAGTATGTCGAAAAGCAAAGGGGACAGCCAGGGTGTACTGAATACAAGATGACATCACTAGCCCAGCTGATGATTGTTTACAATTTTTTATACATAGATTTGTATGCAGACTTAAACCGCACGTTTGTCAAACTCCATATAAAAAAAATTGACAATCGTGCGGTTGCTTTCAAGTGCTGGTACCTTATTAAGTATACCGTGGGGACAGCTATGGAAGTGGTTTTCTATTCGCTCACTTTATAACCAGTTATTTTAAAATGAAACTTTCTTGGGAGAATCATAACTTACCCCTTTCGGTCGAATTTGATGTGATAGGGGATATAAACATTTCTAAAATACATTTGGAAATGGTAAAGTATTGAGAAAATATTAAAGTTTTAATTTGTATTAAAAAAAAATCTGGTTTCTACAGAAATTTTTGAATTGTATTTAGAATTTCTTTAATTTTTTTCCTTATTCAAAACTTTGAGACCACTAATCTAGATATTAATAAAAAAAAAACTAATAACAAAATTTGAATATTTTAATTAATTTTAAATTGCACCATGTTTGTTTTGTTATTCTTTCAATATTTTAGCTATCATTTTAATATTTTATTTTATGCAAAGTATGTGTGTTAGGGTGTATAAACAATCAGACATACAGTGTGGAGCATAAGTATTGCAACATTTCTTAATTTTTATTTATTTTCATTAATTTATACCTAACTATTTTTTTAATTATAAAATTAAATTATCATAATAATTAGACTACTAAACCTTACCTCAATAAAATCTAAAAGTTTTTAAGTTAGTTTTTATTTTTCTTAAAATTTTAGTATTTAAAGTTTTATTACGTCATTGCTAACAAGACGTACAATATTTTTTTAGTTTCTTACATTTTTTTTGTAAAAAAAAAATAATTAATAAGGAATTTTTTTGTTTAAAGAAACCTATTTTATTTATGTAAATAGTTGTATAAATATTGTTTATTTTATTTTCATTTTGTTTATAACAAATATTCATTATTCTCTGTATTGTTCACTCTTGAGGCATTTCAATCAATATTATTATTATTATTATTATAATTTTAGTTTTCTTAATGTCCTGTTTTTTTAAATATTTCTTATTTATATTTATTTTGCAATCATAGTTGCAAATTATTTTCAGTTTATAAATGTGCGTTGTCAGTTTCAACACTACTGTTATTGTTGTTTGTTGTAGGTGGCACGGTATGTGTGGAATTTTGTTGCTGATGCTGTTGTTGTTGTTGTAACTCTTCTGAACCATTTTCCACACATTTTCGTATAGTTTCACTATCACTACTGCTACTACTTTCACTAGTTTTTCGTTGAACTTCAAATTCGTTGGTTATATTTATATACATTTCTTGTTGTTTCTGATGTTCTTTCTGTGGGAAATTATGATAAAAGATAACGTTATAAATAATTAATAATTTATTTAATGAAAACTTAAATTATTTTAGTATTTCTCATAGGAACTTTTGTCTAAGTTGAATATCCTTTCACATTTTCCATCAACATTCAAAAAAAATATAAATTTTTAGTTTTCAGAATGTAAACAACTTTTTCTATAGAAAACTTGTCAGAATCCGAGCAACCTTTTCTATAGAAATATTGTAGGAATCTGAGCAATCTTTTCGATAGAAAAATTGTCAGAATCTAAGCAACCTTTTCAATAGAAAAGATGTCAGAATTTTAGCAACCTTATCTATAGAAAAAGTTGTCAGAATCTGAGCAACCTTTTCTATAAAAAAGTTGTCAGAATCTGAACAACCTTTTCTATAGAAAAGTTGTCAGAATCTGAGAAACCTTTTCCATAGAAAAGTTGTCAGAATCTAAACAACCTTTTCTATAGAAAAGTTGTCAGAATCTGAACTACTTTTTCTATAGAAAAGTTGTCAGAATCTGAACAACCTTTTCTATAGAAAAGTTGTCAGAATCTAAACAACCTTTTCTATAGAAAAGTTGTCAGAATCTGAACTACTTTTTCTATAGAAAAGTTGTCAGAATCTGAGCAACCTTATCTATAGAAAAGTTGTCAGAATCTGAGCAAACTTTTCTATAGAAAAGTTGTCAGAATCCGAGCAAACTTTTCTATAGAAAAGTTGTCAGAATCTGAGCAAACTTTTCTATAGAAAAGTTGTCAGAATCTGAGCAAACTTTTCTATAGAAAAGTTGTCAGAATCTGAGCAAACTTTTCTATAGAAAAGTTGTCAGAATCTGAGCAAACTTTTCTATAGAAAAGTTGTCAGAATCTGAGCAAACTTTTCTATAGAAAAGTTGTCAGAATCTGAGCAAACTTTTCTATAGAAAAGTTGTCAGAATCTGAGCAACCTTTTCTATAGAAAAGTTGTTGTTTTTGAAAATGTAAAAAAACAAAAGAACTAAGTTGAGATTGAATCATCTGGGACTTAATTATACATAAGTCCCATTCAATAAACTGATTTTAAGTATGTTTTATTTTCAAAATTAGAAAGTTCTGAAATTAAATTAATTTGAAAGAAAGAGAAAAAGAAAGATGGAACAATCCATCTTTCTTAAGCATACATTTTAAAATTCAATTTTAGTTCAAAATTAACCTTTTGATTAACTTTTTTAAATATTCTGAGAAATTTGGGCCCTGATAAATACCAAAATTTAGCCAATAATTCAGGCTTTTCGAAATCATATTTTATAAAATATTTAATTATTTTTTGAACCACAAACTCAA